TATTAGTATTAGTATCAGTATTAGTATTAGTATCATTAAAAAAAAACAGTGTTAGTAGCAACAATTGTTATCATCACTGCTACTGTTGTTATAACCGTTACTATTAATATTACTATCGATGTTATTACCATTACATGGAGAAGGCGGAAAACAAGGGGTTTGAAAAGTTCCTAGTTAACAAGTTATTAGACAAAATGTTTGTTGTTGTCGAGGTAGTTTATTCTTATTTTTTTTCTATACTTAACAGATTGAGAGATTTTAATTAGAATTTGAGTCAAAGTCAGGCAGATAGTAGTCATATCCATATACTATACTCCTTAAAGTAATATACTGATGTGGGGGACTACATACATAATTTTATTTTAGTATTTCGTGAAGCGAAAAACGAGAGGAGTTTTCTTCACAACGATTTTCACTTGAGCCTGTTTTTTAACTTCACACTATAACTGTACTCGCCAGCTGTTGTTACGTCGCAAGTTGAAAAAGCAATGAGCAATTGAAAATGATTGTTGGCGTTATTTTGTTGTGCACTTGATGCTGAAATATTATAATATTTACTTCTTCATTTGCTGCTGCTGCTAAATAAGTAAGGCAAATTGGCGCTAAGAATATTCAAAAGAACTTTATTAAGTTCCGGAACCAGATCCGGAACTTTCTTTGTCTGTTACTTGCTAACATCGGTTATCACTAACAACAACAGCAGCAACAACAACAATAGCAACAGCGTCATCATCTTTATCGCAGCCATCGACAACAGTAACAACATCGACGCCAACGTCAACAACATTAGCGTCAACATAAACAACAAAAACAATAGAAAAATCAACAACGGTAGCAGCATCAGCAAGAACGATATCATTAGCAACAACAACGACAATAGCTACAACACGAACATCAACAACCACAGAAGAAACGATTACAGAAGCGACAGTAGCAACGAAACTTGCAGATTATTAACTAGCTTAACCTAAAAAAAAGATTGTCAGTCCTTCGCCGCAATCATTGTTGTTTTGTTTTGTTTTTCTTTTTGTATTCTTTCGCTTATACTACTTTGCTGATTATTACTGTGAAAAGCTGAATTCGTTAAATCGCTGGAACACTTACTCAACTGCTTATATCCGTGTATGGAAAGTCCTGAAATCGCAATCAAATTGCTGCAATAAAATGAAGTCTTCTGATGATCCAAACGACGACGATAAAGCTCTCTCTGAGGAACAAAGGTTCTATTACCTGCGTCTTATGGCTACCCCAGGTGGTGAGAAAGAACCGATTAAAACAAAGTTTTTACGATGGGCTCCACCAAGCCTGATGCAAGAGAATATTGAACAAAATCGAGTGCTTGAGGTTTGCTTCAGTTTACAGATCAAGTCAACTATTTCTTTGCTTCATTGAAATGTTACCTCAGTTGATATGTCTAGTTTTTCCTATTTTTCTCTCCGCTTTATCTTGTTTTGTCTGTATGGTGTCGGTTCAACTTTGGCTTTTGTTATTGTAGTGACAGTAAGAAGCCTTGGAAGCAATAAGTTTATATGGTCAAAGTAAAGATTTAATAGGTACTTTTAAAATATTTGGTAGGGATCGGATTTTGGTTCGTCGCTCTTAGTGTTGTTCGAGGCTTATTGCAGAACTTTATAAGTGGAATAGTAGTTATCTGAACTCGACAGTAGGTGAGCGTTGTTGGCACGGCTGAGGGGTGTTCGCATTTTGCAGGACCTTCGAAACTTCTGATCATATTAAGTGCTATTTTTATGATTTTTAGCACTTAAAAAAAACGTTGAAAGATTGATGCTATGATTTTCAATTGAAAAACTGAATATTTTAATCTTTTCTTACATTTATTTATCTATAAATTTTCGACTTATTGATTTACCTAGTAATATCTTTAAAAATGTAAACAGTCTTTACCGTTAACTGTTCAGCAGAGTGGGGAAGAGAAACGAATATTTTACCAAAAATATTTGACTGCTAACTCGGCAGTGTATGGTAGCAATGAAGTGCTTTTTTGTTTTTTAATTCAGTGAGGTTTTGTCGACAGATATTGAGAACATATGGTGTGGGTTGCCACAAAGTAGGATATGCTGGTTAAATTTTTATTTTGAAATTTTCAAGTAAAGAAGAGAACATTAAAGAGTAATAGGAGCAAAAAGTAAGACTGCTAACTTTCGTAATTTTTTATTTTTAACTG